AATGGATGCTCCGGGTAATCGGCTCCTGTTGATAGCCAGAACTAGGACCGGGCAGTGCTCCCCACCTTAGCAAACAGAGGTGTATCATGGTCGCTTTTTAGAGACGCGACATGAGAATGACAAGAAGTAGGTGTCTGGGTACCTTTTTTCAATTGGTTGTGGTTGGTACAGTTAACGCCCGCGAATTAAGAACCTGTGGATTAAGAACTTCCTGGCAGTACCTCCGTGTTTTGAGGTAACAAACAGTCAACAGGAACAAGCGTATTGAGAACGTAACAAAACAGTCGAGGCTACAGATCACCGGCTAAGCTTTGTCAAGAGAAATCTTACGCGCTACAAGCAACAGCACTCTGGTCCGCCCAAATTTGGAATACGCCAGTTCTGCCATGATCGCTACATCAAAAGTACCAGAGGGTATGGTGGCTATCCCAATGCCATCATATGTCCAGCCACTACATTACAGCAGAGCCCATTAGTACCATCCTCCGAGATCCTGCTGTGAACTGTACCACTAACGCTTATAAGGGGAGTTTCTTTCCCGCCACGATAAACTTGTGGAACAGCCTCCTGAAGTGATTACAGGCAGTCTGAACCTCAAAGGCTTCGGGTTGGCCTGGACAATTTTTAAATGAATTGATTTTTTAATTTAATTAATTAAGTTATTTAATTAACACTTTCTGAATTATTTTGTATTATTAATTATTTTTTGTTTCTTATATCCATGTGATGGCTATATGCTTTTGTGGATTATTTGTCATGAATAACCTTAAACGTAAACGCAGAAATGTTGGCGTAATAAGCAAAAATACAATAATAATTGTTTCCTTTTAATATTATATCACGCAATGTTTATTATCATTCGAAGCAAATTTTTCGTTCTTTTCATTTGCCGAGAGCCCACCACGTGACCTGCAAATAACTACCTACAGATGCGCAATGCTGTCCAACTGTGTTTAAGTGTTTGTCTGCAAATAATATTCTGCTCATGCGCAAAGGAAACCTTGCTTTTCTCCTTCTTGAAAATGGCAGATCGCTTCGCTTCCCAAGGATATTCATTAAAAAAACAAACTCGGTGATCGAATGATAAAACAATTATCGAACTCAGTTATCGCAAAATATCGTGATTTGTCAGTGTCTCGCAGACAAATCACGATATTTTGCTCAACCTCGTCCAATAATTGTTAATTTTATGTTTTATTCGCCTTAACGTCACGACTTGCGCGTGACAGATGTACGAAGAAGATAGATCACGTATAATGAATTATAGAAAGTATGCTTGTAAACTGCGACATGTAATTGTAACTGTACATTTTTGGCATTAATGAGATAATTGTTGTAAAAGGTCAAGCCTCAGAACGGAACGGAATTGAGAGTGTAAACAGCTCTGGCTTAATGAGCTCTTTGCCTTTTGGAGGCGAGCTAGCTCCAGAAACTGATACGTACATTGCCGCCCGTTTAGTTTAGTATCATGAGTAGTTTCGTCACAGAAAGTATTTAATGGAAGCTCTCTCTCTAACCCTTTCTAGTTAGCTGCACATACAAGTGAATTGTAAGTCAAAAGATCTCTATAAACATTAGAAGCTCAGTTACGGCTGACTTCGCGTGATCATGAATATCATGTCGTGATTTATCCAGATCAAATCTTGTTTACTTTTTTAATAAATTGTCAAGGTTAATTTATAATTAACTTCTATTTAGTACTTTATACTAAATTTCGTTATTTAAATTTGGAAGACGCATCTTTTAAAAGAGGGAAATATAATTGTATGGAATGAGAGCTTTAGACAATGGATACTAGAGATACCGAATAGCTTTTCGTGTCGTCACGTAAAGCCAATTAATCCGGTAAAAAAGTATTAACGCCTGCTCGTTACCAGGCTACTCCACTTTAAAAATCGGCGCTGCGCAACTTCGTTTTGTTACAGAATTCGGGCTGAAATCACCGTTGTTGTGTGTGAACAGCACAGAAGCTATCTTAGGAGGGCGGGCTTTATAAGCACTCATTTGTACAAGGTCGCACAGGAAGGATTACAAACCCATTCAAGTTATGTCACAATAAAATTACCTTCGTGGCAAAGAAAAAAACAGCAAAACGCACCTAGTTGTTGCCAATAATAGGGAACCATATAT